AGAGAGAGAGAGAGAGAGAGAGAGAGAGAGAGAGAGAGAGAGAGAGATGAGACAAAGAGAAAAGACACAGAGCTGAAGATGCAACCTAAGCAAATAAGCCCTCCTTAATTTGCTTGAAAATGGCAAATGATTTTCAACGGCTGACTGACTTATCAGGCTCTGACACGGCGGTGTGTTGTTCTGTCTTCACCTCAACATCACAATCACAGGAAACACACACTCCCATGCTCTACACTTGCACCCCTCTACTCCCACACAGCAGCCACTACAGGAGTGTGTGTGTGTGTGTGTGTGTGTGTGTGTGTGTGTGTGTGTGTGTGTGTGTGTGATATAATTTGTTTTCTCTGCTGCACCTAATTAACCTTTGTCTGTGTGGCACTTACACATCTCATTCACAAGCCGAGCGCTCTTTCATTAGCAGCGCGTTGTGTTTTTAATGCGTGTGACCAGTGGTTGGCAATTCTTTGTAATCTTCAAACTGCATGTTAGAAGTCGAGGACTAGTGTACACAGCACATGAGATGATGTGGGTTGAGTGATGATTTTGATTCAAAGAGGCCAAGGAGGAGGTTTGTAGTAACATGGTTTCATGCGTATCAAAGGGTAAAGGGTGAGGAGGCGGATCAAACTGCACATTTGGAAGGCGGATACCTACACTTGAATGTCCACCATGATCCTCTTGTCCTCCTCAACGTGGATTCCCCAGATACAGTCCTGGCCTTTATCGTAGGCTTCAGGCCAGTTAGGAGACAGCACCACTCCAGCTGAGTCTGTGATCTCGCCACTACACACAGCTGGAAGATACACACACAACCATGGACATTAAGACAGGCAATGCTGAGGGTACAGATTATTGAATCAGCACACATACTGCAAAAGGGCTGGTGGTCAGAAATCATGGATGCAATTAGTTTAATGCCAAAACAATATATTTTCAATAATTCAATACTTCAGTTTTGATTTTAATTTAATAAAAGGAAGAAACAAATCTTAAATGTCGAAACACAATCAGCCTAGCATATAGTTATGCTGAAATACAATTGGAAGTAGGAAACAAGTAGGAAACTTTCCCTCCAGCCAGCTGTCACGTTATATAAAGGTTTTTGTAGTGAAATGAGAAGGTATCGTAATAAGACTCCTCGTTCAGTCTGATCTCAGAATCAGAACCAGAACCATTTATTGCACCAGAACCATTTATTATTCCTTGTATGTTGCACATACAAGGAATTTGACATGACGGGTGGTGCATAACATTAAACAACAATCAACACAGTGCAAAAAGTAGAACCATATTCAAATTTACAGTAAAATATAAAATAAAGTGAAATATAAAATAAAGTGCACAGACGACCAGATAACAGGACTATAAAATAATTACTCACAATGACCATGACCTCTTAACGGCGCATTACGTAGAAGGTCAATCGGGTGGACGTGAATATGCAAAGTTCAGAGTCAGTTATAAACAGTGTTGAGAGGGAGGGGAAGTGGATAGGGCAAACAAACACAGCACTTTCCAGGACTTTCAACCAGGAGACCCGTGTTTGTGCTGCAAAGTGTTGGTGAGTTATTGTGAAGTTACGTTAGTGATGTTTGTGACTTGTTTACATATTTTACGTACTTATTTTAAGCAAAAGTATGATGTTTTTCCAAAACCTAATTGTTGCCTAATGCAAGCCATCAAATATCGCGGCACATTTTACACATTATGTGCAGCCATCATGTAATAGGCTATTGACATGGTTATTTCACGTATGTCTGTGGAATCATGTTGCCTTATTTCAACTTTAACAATCAGCAGTTTCTTGCTCATTGTGGATCTTTCAAAGAAAACGGTAGGAATATATAGAAACAGGCCGTCTGACAAACACTCATCTGAAAACGCCGCACCATGTCGCACTGCGCAGTGCTTTGCAGCGCTGCGTTGCTTGCTGCTGGTTAGGATATTCTAATAGAAAACAAGGCAAAGAGAATTTGTAACTGACGTTGCTCACGCCAAACTCAATTAGGACATGGTCTCATGCACAAATGCACAACAATAGATATTCAAATGGTTGTTTTTATGGAGGAAATATTTGAACGTAATTTTTGCCGATTCTGACAGCCCTAGTATGAAATATGTTGTACTAAAACTCTGAGGAGTGAACATTTTGTTATTTTGCTAAATATTGGGTGTTGCTATTGCATTTCAATAAAGTAATTTCTTGGATGTTTGTTGACTGACTAATAATCAAAAGACAGCATACGTTTTTCTTGGGTCCCATCTAATCTAATTACATTATACTGTAATCTTGTGTGTTTACAGACAAACATCCATTGGAGGCAACAACAGTACCCATGTCTCTCATTTTAAGTAAATCATGTAAGCTTATTGCCTAAAATAAAATAATAATGTAAATAATTTGAAACAGGATGTATTTCAACAATACACAGACATACAGACCTCTGCAGGCAGGCTCGGTCTCGTTCCACTGGGGATTGTTGGGGTCCACGCATTCAATAGTGACAGATCCCTGTTCCAGGGTATAGCCAGGGTCACAGGCAAACTCCACCACAGCTCCCACTGCCCAAGTGATGTCGCTACTGGTCAGGTTACCATACTTCACGAAGGGTTCGTAGCAGTGGCCTGCTGCAAAAGCTGTGGTACAAAGACATTTTCAGTAGCGGAAAGGAGATTTCACAAAGAAGTCAGTTTGGTTAATTTTGGGCTTCAAATTCAACCTTGAAGTTACTAAAGTTGACACATTAGGGTGTTGCCATGCAATTTGGTACAAATATTCAAGGTGTCAATACTACATGGATTGATACAAAATCTGGTTACAACATTTATGGTTCCCAGAGGATGAACTTTAGGCTAATGCCTGCAGAATTGATAATAATGCCTGCAGAATTGATAATAATGCCATCAGCTCTAGATATTAGCTTGCCGATGTTAGCATTGCTAGAATTGTAGTCGCACCAATTAAGTAACCTAAATTTGATACATTTTTGTAGACATGTTGAGGAGCATTATCCCACATTGTGTCCAGGAAACAGTAGCTACATTTTAGAATTAAATTCATTGTATTTTGTATAGCCCAAAATCACAAATCACAAATTTGCCTCAGAGGGCTTTACAATCTGTACACATGCGACATCCTGTCCCAGGACCCTCACATCGGAACAGGAAAAAATAAACCCTTTAACAGGGAGGAAAAAAGGAAGAAACCCCAAAGAGAGTAACAGAGGAGGGATCCCTCTATCAGGATGGACAGAAGTGCGATAGATGTCATGTGTACAGAATTAACAACATAACAGAGTTACAACACATTCTATGTATGTGACATAAATGATTCATCAAATGAGAGTAGTAAGCAGAATAATGTTAGAAAAATTACGACTACTAATAATAACAGCAGCGGTGGATATAGTAGAATGATAATGATAATAAAAACAGTCATGGTATCGGTAATAATAATAGTAATGTGACTAATAATAAATCTGTATAGGACTAAATGCCATGAATAAACATTAAGATGAATTTATGAATTTCATCCACTTGCAAATAGTTCTGACTGGATACATTATTTTGAGGAGAATGTATAAAGAAGAATGGTAATTAGACTGTACTTCTATTGCGCTTTTCTGGTCTTCCATCCACTCAAAGCGCTTTAACACTATACATGTCATCATTCACCCATTCACACCCACTGCCCATCAGGACTAACTAACCAATCATCCATTCACACCCACTGCCCATCAAGACTAACTAACCATTCATACCAATTCATACACCGCAGGAACAGCCTGCAGGAGCAATTCGGGGTTGAGTGTTTTGCTCAAGGACACATCGACATGGACTAGTGAAGCCAGGGATCAAACAGACGATCTTCTGATTGAAGGACGACCCTGCTTTACCACTGAGCCACAGTCTCCCCAGAAGAGGCACAGGCAGTTAGAAACAGCTGAATGAATGCTCATGAAGGAGGAGAGCTGTTCATCGGGGTCGGAATAGTTTGTCAGGATAAAGGTGGAACCATCAAATCTGTTAAGAGACTGGCTGAACAGCATTATGTCCTGTTAATGTCCATAATGAGGTATGTTTCTCCCTTTGGGCCTAATCCCATTTGGGGCAGTGAAGGAGAGGCCTAAGAAGATTACGCTGATCTTATTTCCATTGTGGACATGAAGAGTGTTGCCGATCTGATGGTGAGTGCTGAGACAAATGTGAGGGCAAAAGATAAGTGAAGCTAAGTGATTTCTCACCTTAACCATTAGATGAAACTTACTGTAAAATATATCATATTGATTCTAATGTATAAGGTTAGGCTGGTAGACGGTGGATGTTAATATTGTGTAACCGAAAGACTGTCCTTGATTCTTTTATTCTCAAGCATAGAGAAGCAAAACGTATGAAGGAGTTTAAGATTTACTGGGAGGAATATACTGAGAGCCTCAATTAAATGGCTACAAAAGCAACAGATACAAAAGACAAAATACTTAAAGTGAGGTACTTTTCACTATGGATGTGTTTAAATGAACCCAATAATGTGTTTATTGCAAAAGCTGCATCTAAGGCGGCAATGAAAGTAAAAAATGTTCTTTGGTTATCTAGAGAGTATTTATGAAATGGGGCTTTTGCTCTGACAAAAGTGTGTTTTTTTCTCTCCTGCACTTATTTAAAGTCCGTTGAGGAGATCATTCCATCCATCCATGTCACGATTTTGGTTTTGATTTAGCTTGTTTCCTGTTCTATTTTGAAATCCCCTGCCTCTTGTGTCCTGTGGTAGTTTGACTACCTGTGTTTGTGGTTTCCCCTCCTTTTTTCTGTGGATCACTTGTGTTGGATTAGTCTCGTCACCTTGGCTCTGTTCCCTTGTGTTTCTTCCACCAATTAGCTTTCAGACTGCCCTCGTGTCTGCCCACCTGTGTCTTGTTGTCTGATTAGTTTATTGTGTATTTATAGTCCTGTCTTTTGTCTTCTGGTTGTTGGTTCGTCTACTATGATCCAGTTGATATCCCTCGTGCACATGACCTGGTCCTGTTTTGCCTGTTGGATTTTGAGTTACTAATTTTTGGACTCACCTGTTGGTAAGTTTTAGTTTTTTTTTTTCTGAAATGTCTTTATTAAAATCACTGTTGATCATCCTTCTGCTATCTATGTCTATCTGCTTTTAGGTCCATTCCCTGTTGCCTTTTTGCCCCACCTTGACAATCCACCCATCCATTTGTAATTGCAATGTAGTACAGACATTCATGGTCTCCAGAGAATTTTTTTGTTTTTCATTGAAATACGTTGACAACTATTTGATGGATTGTTGTGAAATTGAGTTCAAACATTATGGTTCCCCTGAGGCTGATGTTCCTACCAGCATGTAAATATTCTTCATTATATATGACTGTTAATGACGGGTCCTGTATTTTTAGAATCCTCTATTAAATGTGCTCTCTATTTTCACAGTGGAATCAGCATACACATCACAAAAGATGAAGGTAGAAAGCGGAAATAAGACAATTCCTTCCGTCACATCTCTGCTCACAAACTAATCTGTAACGTGTGTTAAATAATGTGACCTGATAACATCAATCTAAGTTCAATTTCAATTGACTCATTCACAGTGATGGATCACTGAAACTGACCGACGTTAAACGTCTCTAGTGTCATTTAATATGTTAACCTATTTTCTGTTTACATGTACTCATCTTTGTAGAATGGTCTTAATAGTTTTTAAGTCATAGGACTAATATGCCTGCCTCCGACCTGATGCAGAACTATCTATCCGAAGAAGACTTCACACAGTTTTGAAATTATCAGTATGTGATAATGTAAATGTTAATGAGCAGTGAAATCCAATGCACACTTCAGCATCAATATTCTGTTCAGGACTTCTCTTTAGAAAGAGACTCATGATTACTCACTTTTATTTTATTTGTATAGCCCAATATCACAATTCTGCTTCAGAGGTCTTTACAATCTGAACAACATATGACAGTTGATAGGAAACTACTAAATAAAACACAAGGTCATGATTGGAGGTTCAATCATGACCTTGGGCAGACTCAATTTTGTATGGTTAAACCAACTCTGTCTCCTCCAAAATTAAATACTAAATACAACTAAACTGCATTCTCAATTATGTATCGACACGTGGTTAACATTGTAAACAGAAAGAAAACAAAAGTACTTGGTTATGTTAAGGAAATACGACTGATGTTTTATGTTTCATAAAACCTCAAGATTTGGCTTCATGGGAAACAAACGGTGGTCTCCAAAGTGAAAGTCCTGTGTTGATCATGACCGACCTATCGTGTACTCCTTACAAAGACTTCGTCTGTGTCAAAGACCAGTGTTATCTGGGAGAAAATATTCCCTCAGGCAACTGACAATGCAGTTTTGTTGTAAATAAGAATAATTTTTAACACCTTGTCAGTGAGACTATGACAGAAGAGCTCCTACCTTTTAGAAAGCTGCCAAACCTCTAAAAGCAGTTCTCTTCCCGTCCTTGTATCCCCCCCACCAAATTGTTTTTTTTTCTGTTTGAAGCTTTTCACTGCTTTCCTACAGTCCATCCAACACTTCTTTTGGTGGCTGCATCGCCCTTGATTACTTGGAACTCTTAACCTCCATTCACCAGTCAGCATCTCCTGCCATTCACACTGCTGCTACCTTATGAACCATCCCGACCCCTTAGGTTGTCTGGGACTGGTCTACTTTCTGTTCCCAGAGTCAGAACTAAACATGGAGAAGCAGCGTTCAGTTGTTCTGCTCCACATATCTGGGACAGAGTCCCAGAAAGCTGCAGGTCTGCTAAGATCCTCAGCTCCTTTAAATCAAGATTGAAGACTTTTCTGTTTGCTGCTGCCTTTAATTGAACCAGATTCAATTAATATATTAATCAATTTTCTGCATTTTACCACTGTATTTTATTTCTTACTGCTTTTTATTGTTTCAATGAATGTTCTTAATCGTTTTTAAATCTCCTTTTCTTTTACCTTATGTTTTGATAATGGTTTTATGTGAAGCACTTTGAATTACCTTGTTGTTGAAATGTGCTATACAAATAAACTTGCCTCCTCCGCGAATCGCCACCTTAACGTGGTGGAGGAGTTTGAGTGGCTCAGTGATCCTGGGAGCTATGTTGTCCGGGGCATTAGCCCCTGGTAGGGTTTCCGGAGTTGCCGAGGGTGAGAGGCGCCGAGTGGGAGTGGGGATACTCACGAGCCCCCGGCTGAGCGCCGCTGTGTTGGAGTTCTCCCCGGAGAACGAGAGGGTCTCCTCCATGCGCCTACGGGTTGCGGGGAGCAAGGCTCTGACTGTAGTTTGTGCTTATGCACCAAACAGCAGTTCGGAGTATCTGGCCTTCTTGGAGTCGGTGGGAGGGGTCCTGGAAAGGGCGCCGCCTACCGACTCCATAGTTCTCCTAGGGGACTTCAACGGTCACGTGGGCAATGACGGAGAAACCTGGCGGGGGGTGATTGGGAGGAACGGCTTGCCCGATTTGAACCCGAATGGTGTTTCGTTATTGAACTTCTGTGCTTGCCATGGTTTGACCATAACGAACACCATGTTCGAACATAAGGTGGCTCATAAGTGTACCTGGTACCAGAACACCTTAGGCCGGACATCAATGATCGACTTTGTAATCGTATCATTTGATTTGCGGCCGTATGTCTTGGACACTCTGGTGAAGAGAGGAGCAGAGCTGTCAACTGATCACCACCTGGTGGTGAGTTGGATCAGATGGCAGGGGAACCGGTTGGAAAGACCGGACAAGCCCAAACGTGTAGTGAGGGTGAACTGGGAACGTCTGGCGGAGGACCCTGTCCGGGAGGTCTTTAACTCCCACCTCCGGAAGAACTTCTCACACATCCCAAGGGAGGTTGGGGACACGGAATCCGAATGAACCATGTTCAAAGCCTCTATTGTGGACGCGGCCGCTAGGAGCTGTGGCCGGAAGGTCATCGGTGGCGGCAACCCGAGAACCCGGTGGTGGACACCGGAGGTGAGGGAAGCCGTCAAACTGAAGAAGGAGACCTTCAAGGCCTGGTTGGCCCAGGGGTCTCCTGAAGCAGCTGACAGGTACCAGCAGGGCTGCAGCTGCGGTGGTCATGAATGCTAAAACTCGGGCATGGGAGCAGTTCGGGGAGGCCATGGAGAAGGACTTTCGGTTGGCCTCAAGGAGGTTCTGGCAAACCATCCGACGGCTCAGGAAGGGAAAGCAGGGCTTACCCCAGGCTATTCTCAGCAGGGGGAGGGGAACTGCTAACCCGGACGGGGGACATCGTCGGGCGGTGGAAAGAGCAATTTGAGGAACTCCTAAACCCGACCAACATGTCCTCTGCAGAGGAGGCAGCGCCTGAGGACCATGGGGGAGGCTCAACCATATCCCTGGCAGAGGTCGCTGAGGTAGTTAAAAAGCTCCTTGGTGGCAAGGCGCCGGGGGTGGATGAGATCCGCCCTGAGATGCTGAAAGCGCTGGACATAGTTGGGCTGTCCTGGCTGACACGCCTCTTCAATGTTGCATGGGGGTTGGGATCAGTGCCCATAGTATGGCAGACCGGGGTGGTGGTTCCCATCTTCAAAAAGGGGGACCGGAGAGTGTGCTCGAATTACCGGGGTATCACACTACTCCGCCTCCCGGGGAAGGCTTATGCCAGGGTGCTGAAAAGGAGGCTCCGACCGCTTGTCGAACTTCAGATCCAAGAGGAGCAGTGCGGATTCCGTCCCGTCGTGGAACAGTGGACCAGCTCTTTACCCTCGCAAGACTACTGGAGGGGTTCTGGGAGTTTGCCCAACCAGTCTACATGTGCTTTGTGGACTTGGAGAAGGCTTACGACCAGGTCCCTCGGGGGTTCTTGTGGGGGGTGCTGCGGGAGTATGGGGTGCCGGATCCGTTACAATGGGCGATCCAGTCTCTGTACGACTGCAGTAGGAGCTGTGTCTACATTCTCGGCAATAAGTCAGACATGTTCCCGGTGGGTGTTGGCCTCCGCCAGGGCTGCCCTTTGTCACCGGTCCTGTTCGTGACTTTCATGGACAGAATATCTAGGCGCAGCCTGGGGGCGGAGAACGTCAGGTTCGGGGGTCTAGGGATCGCCTCGCTGCTGTTTACAGATGATGTGGTCCTGTTAGCCTCCTCGGATCATGACCTCCAGCATTCACTGGGGCGGTTTGCAGCCGAGTGTGAAGCGGCGGGGATGAGAGTTAGCACCTCCAAATCTGAGGCCATGGTTCTCTGCCGGAAACCGGTGGATTGCTCCCTCGAGGTGGGGATGGAGTGCCTACCTCAAGCGAAGGAGTTCAAGTATCTCGGGGTCTTGTTCACGAGTGAGGGTAAGATGGAGCGGGAGATCGACAGGCGGATCGGTGCGGCTGCAGCAGTAAGGCAGGCGCTGCACCGGACCGTCTTGGTGACGAGGAAGCTGAGCCGGAAGGCAAAGCTCTCAATTTACCACTCGGTCTACGTTCCTACCCTCACCTATGGTCACGAACTCTGGGTCGTGACCGAAAGGACAAGGTCGCGGCTACAAGCGGCCGAAATGAGTTTCCTCCGTAGGGTGGCCGGGCTCAGCCTTAGAGATAGGGTAAGGAGCTCAGTCATCAGGAGGGAGCTTGGAGTCGAGCCGCTACTCCTTCGCGTCGAAAGGAGTCAGCTGAGGTGGTTCGGGCATCTAATTAGGATGCCTCCTGGACGCCTCCCACTGGAGGTTTTCCAGGCACGTCCAACTGGGAAGAGACCCCGGGGAAGACCCAGAACACGCTGGAGAGATTAAATCTCCAAGCTGGCCTGGGAACGCCTCGGGATCCCCCAAAATGAGCTGGAACATGTTGCAGTGAGAGGGAGGTCTGGGTCAGCCTGCTTGGCCAGCTGCCACCGAGACCCGACCCCGGATAGGCGGAGGAAAATGGATGGATGGAATAAACTTGCCTTGCCTGAGAAGCAGGCCAAAGTTTCTTCCTGATGTCATGTTCTTAGCCTGAAACAATTAATGAAGTGAGAGCTCATTAATATATACGGTATATTATATACAGTGCCTTTGTGTTTTTATCATGAATGCTTTCTGATGAGGTTTGCTGCCATGTTTTCTACATGTTTCTCCAATTTCTACATGTTTCTCCAATTTTTGACATGGCGCTAGCGGATCACCCCTCACGGTTCGGATCACCCCTCACGGTTCGGATCACTCGTGAACCGTGGATCAATCGAGTATTTTTTTTCTTTTTTTTTTACTCTTTAATCATCATAGTGTGTAATACAGTTTTACTGCTGCTGTTCCTTTTCAAGTAACAAGTCCCCCAATATCAATGCAGAGTGTCAGTGAACAGATATAAAGCAGTAGTGTGTTCACTTGAACGGAGCAGGTTAAAAGCATTTAAAGGCGAATGTCATGGCGAGCGGAGGAACGTCAGAAGCCGCGACGTCATTTAAGTCGCAAGTTTGGGAGCATTTTGTCTTCCCTGTAACCTATAATGACGGATGAGGGTGGTGGACAAAACCGTTACGGTATGTAGGCGTTATTTAAAGAGAGAGACACAATAACGGCAATACATCGGCATGTCCACACATATGAAGAGACAACATCCGGTCTGTCAGCGAAGGGGGACACTCAGTTGTAGAAAACAAAAGAATTGTAAATCTGGTTAAAATGCTTGAGCCACGCTACGAAATCCACTCATGCACCCACTTCAGCATGAAGCTTGTTCCAGACCTCTATGAAAAGGAAAAGACTGTAGAGACTGCTTTCACCACGGCGGAGTGATTCATAGTCCGGTGCTGTAGACACGCCCCCGTCTGTGAGTCACACAGACACACACCTGGTGCAGGTGCTGACAGAACTATCAGAGTGGAAGCTAGACAGGCCCAATAATATTCCAGTCGTCACAGAAAGGTCTACCCTCTCCCCAGACAATGGAGATATTCTCATCTTTTTGAAAATAATGTCACAGTAATGGTAAACATTGTTTCAGTGTATTTGAATGACATAACCTGACAGGAAGTAAACATAGACCCAAGTTGTTGCCGGGCAGTTCAGTTCAGTGTAAACAGTGGAAGCTAGCTCACTGGCTGTTTCTTTCTTTCAATATTGATCAAAGGACGAGGATATCAACATACCTCATGTTGCACTTAAACTTAACAGAATTCTTGAATATATTATTTTTATTTATTTATTTCATTTTGTTTCAAATTGGACATCTTGAAGTTCTTTGCTTTAAGTGTTCTTGAAGTTCTTTAATTAATAAATGGAAAGCAAAGTTACATTTGTCTCCTCCCCTTTTCTTTGTTGATCCGAAAAATGATCCGAACCGTGACTCCTGAACCGTGATCCGAACCGAACCGTGAGGTTTGTGATCCGTGACACCCCTAGCGCTAGCATGACAAACGCCATGTCAAAACGTGCTATACTTGAAGTATCCATAGCTCTGGTGTTTACCTTGGTACCTGATGGCAATGCCAGTGGATGTGCCTGTAGCGTCTGTAGTGAGCTCGGTGAAGAGATGCCTGGACGTGCTGAGTAGACCTTCATTGGGAAGATACTCCACCTCATAGGAATCATACAGGGCAGCTGCATCTATGATGTTACCGTTTTTGATCAGCAACCTAGAAGAAAGGGAACAAGGAATCATTTGGCATCTACATCACCAGCGTCATTGAAGTGGTGTGTGTACATACATACATACACATACATACATATATATACACATACATATATATACATACATATATATACACATACATATATATA